GGTCAGGTAAAAATACCATTAATTGAGCCATGATAGCAATATCAGTACTCTCATCAATTTGTAGAGCAAAGAAATTCAAAGAAACAATCTTTCAAATAAAGCAATAATTTATTTTTTATATGACGACATGTCATCGATTCTTCTTTTGACAGTATCGTTTAAAAGTGACACTTTTTCAATCTCTTTTGCAGCCTTGACTCCAAGAACACATCGCACGATTTCTTTTGCTGCTGGCAACACTAGTGTTTCCCCAATTGTGTGTGGTTTTCCATCTTTAGCAATAATTAAACTCGCTAAATAAGATGCTTTAACGATATTTTCATTTAAGTTTGTAAAACTAGACATGCATTTCGATTCCTTTCGGAATGCATTTAATTTTCTCTGAAAAAATTCAATGGGTTTATTTTCTGTTTCTGGATGCTTCGATAATAGGTGGCGCTTAAGTTGCGATGGCTTCATGCTTTGATTTGAAAGTGTTTCTTGACAAATTATACATTGAGGTGACGGAGTAGAATTTTCAGAACCTTCGCTTTCTAAAAATCTTTTCATTTTACTTAATTTTATATCAAAAAAAGTACGAAAAAACTACATAAAAATATAAAATACACTTGATGCAAACAACGCGTATGACACTCGTGAATAAACCGAAGGAACTCACAAAACTAAGGTAAAAACACATAATTGTGAAATACGCAAGAATACGCTTTGTCGGACTTATCCGATAAAGTTTATCGATTTATATTATATTAAAGAGAATATCGTTATCTTAATTGCTACGATTACAAAYGACCTCCACACCATCAAATAAACATTAAATAAGTCAAATAATATTTAATATTAATAATAATTTGTACCAATTTTTTTTATAAAGTAAGATTTTCTTCGCGTACCACTAGTGGTACGCGTACCACAGGTTGAGAACCGCTGTTTTAAGATAAATTAGGTACTATACACTATACAACAAATTTAAAGTATAAAATAAGTTGTAGGTAATAAAATAAAATATAATATATTATATACGAGTATAATAAAAAAGGTTATTATTTTAAAACACCTAGTAAAATTATAATATTTATCCTCAAATCCTAACATTGCCCCCTAGAAAAATTTCTTCGGGCGCCTATGGCTTCATTCTTTTATATTGGTATACCTAATACGCTGTGACTCCATCCATAGTATATGATCTAAGATTGGTTCGCATTCTTATATTAATTTTCAAAATTACCAATACTAGTTACTAGCATAGATATTAAAGAATGGATAGGACATGGCTATATATTAATAAAGTAGAGGGAAGTGTGTCGGAATGAGGAAGAGAAAAATACTGTTTTTATCATTGCCTTTCGTTCTGGCAGTGATCTTATCATAAATTATGTGCCCCATATTTTTGGGGTCTAGTAATCAAAAATTGCAAGGTCTTAAAAATTGGATCATTATAATCAGATACTTGCCAATTACCTACTTATAGTGTGAGAGTGTGCATACTAGTGCAAATGTCAAGTAACAATAGACAATAGTAAAATTAAAACAGGTAGAATGAGGTTTTTGGGAGGATGAATTGCGCTACTATAGGTTAAGTTAGATTTTATCTACTTTGTAAAAAAAAATTGCTCGGACAACTCGACAAGGGCCCCGCTTACCCGATCCTGCAGCGGCCACGTTGTTGGATTCAGCGTACCTAACTMTTTGGTAGCGTACTTTTGGTCGCGGGCGCCAACGCTAATTTTTCRATCTCCTAACTTAACATGGCACAGTGATACAATAATGTACACTACTGTTTAGAATATAAGTTTATCATAGTACAATGCAAAAAATATTTATTTTGTACCTACTGTATAATAGAGTAAGGGTAACTCGGTTACCAAAAAGCGCTACCTATCTTGAAACGGTGAAATTGTGATGAGAGCTGGACTATTAGTAACTAGTAATAAGTATTAGCTAATAGCCAATATAAGTCTATATTCTATGGCTACACATTACAATACACTAAACGCTGCGAAATACTTAAATGCGTAAAAAATGTATGGTTAGCGTATAGTATTATTAAGACATTTTTATCCATAATAGTACCTACATATCTACGGTACAAATCAATATAACTAATATGCTAAGTTTTTTYACAATAATAAGTATGGATATTTCAAAGAATAGTCAATAATCAATTTAATATGTCATTTTTGTATTAGAGTGAATTATTTTATTATTTCCCCRAAAAACTAACAACTTTGTAGTTGTGTGAGGTCGAAACTCCTTGCTCAGCTCACATTTATTTTAAAAATGTTAATCCCCTCTGCAATTTTACTAAATATCCGCCTATGACATTAGCTACCCAATTTTATTTAGAGAGCCATTAGTACATTAAACGTTTTGTAACTTGGAAGTCACTATTATAATTATATAGATAGGAGTGTAGCCAGTGTGGGACATTTATGCAATAATTTGAATATTATAATATATTACTAACAAATGTCACTACGATTAAGTGCATCACAAACTAATGATACAATTATTAGTTTATGAAACTTAGTTAGTCATTTTGTAGTTTAAAATGTAAATTATTCGAGCCCCCTCCCTCCCCCCACACAAATAGGAAAAAATATCACTGATTACTTCTATGAGCAGTTAAGAAAAATAGGCACCTACCAATTAACTATACAGCAATGGTATAATCAATAGACTATACAAATTGATAATATGTACAACTGTTAAATTAAAAAAAAAAGTAAGAAAAGAATTTCACCACCATTACTAAATTGACTTAACAAATATCTCATTAATCAAATCTTGATTATTATGACATTATTTTTCTGTGAACACCACTCACTCACCACCTTCAAAAACGAACATTTTTGAAAAAATAAATAAATTTTTACTACCTAATTTAAAGGAGCAAACACAAAAAAAATTCTTTAAATTTTTTTTTTTAATGTTAAATTATTGTAGCTATGGCTACATAAAATGATTTGGTGAAAATCCGATGAAAAATTTTTAATTTAAGAAATATTAAGAAATGTAGAATAACCACGTGTCGTCATTGGGTCCTACTCAACGTACTCGACTATCTTGTACGAGTTAAAGTGCCTCGCTTTTCACAACGATCTACCAATCTAAACATTTGATTTTTGAAATTTAATTTACATATAGATGTGTGGTTTTATGTTTTAAAGACGATGCATGTATCAGAATTTCAATATGATGTTAAGTTTTTGAAATATTAAAAATCTAAAGACATTTTCGTTAAACGGGACGTCAGTAGATATAGTGGGGGCGGCGGGCCGGCGCCGGCAGACCCGTTGTTCGATTGCCACGTGATGACGTGCCGTTTGACAAAATGTCTCTTTTAAGATTTTAAATATTTTAAAAACTAAACGTTATATTGAAATTTTGATACATGCATCGTCTTTAAAACATAAAACTACACATTTATATCTAAATTTCAAAAATTAAATGTTTAGGTTGGTAAATCGTTGTGAAAAGCAAGGAACTTTTACACGTATAAGATAAGCGATTACTATGAGTAGGGCCAGTAGGGCCCAATGACGTCACGCGTATTTTTTCAATAATTGATCATAATTTATTGAATAATGTGAGTGGAAACGTAAAATCACTAAAATGTATACTACTATTCTTAGAATTTAATATTCTTTTAAATAAAAAAATTTTTTATTTTTTGTGTTGTCATAATTTTATAGATACCAAATTCTCTATTTTTAATGACAAATATATTTTTAATTTCATATTCCTCGTCAGAATATTTTTCTGAGAATTTTGAATGTTTTGATGCATAAAAACCAATTTTTAAACAAATACCTAATTTAATTAGTTATATAACTTATAAATATGAAAAACTCAGATTAGCAGTGGAGTAATGCAAAAAGCAAAATGTTAATCCACTACCTACTAAAAAATATTGAAATTAAAAATAACTTATTCCAGCTAAACATAACATTTATTTTTTAACAATATATTTGCATACATAATACATACGTACATAATAATTTTAAATACTATTTTAATGGATAGACAACAAATAAATTAATATAAATGTTTAAAATAGTTTAAAAAACTTTAATATAATTTAAATTTAATATAGATCATAGTTTAATTCTAACAATTATTACAAAGAAATTGCTGGTGTTAATTAAAAACAAATATTATCTCTTTATTTAATTCAATATTTTATATTTTATAGAAGACAAAATATTATATTAAGTTCAGACAAAATCTTAAAAACTTTGATAGTACAATAATACATGCCATGATATCTAACAGATAAAAATAAAATAAATAAAATATTACGATGAAAAATTATATAAGATTGTATTTACAATACCAAATACTAATCCAGTTCAATAAGTTCAGGTTTTTTACCACTATTAGTTAAAGAACTACCAGGATGGTGGACTTGATTTTTCTGGACTATTTGTCGTACTGTAGTTGTTGTAGTCATGGTTGTTACTTGCTATGAAATAAATCAAATACAATAAAATTGTGAGTACAATGATGTTATGTAACTATGAATAGAGTATAAGACTTGTACTATACTTATAGTATAGTATAAGTATAGTACTCACAATATTATATACACAGTTTTGTTATGAAGTTCTACAAAAACATAACATTGTAATCAGAGACGTATTTGTAATAGTAAAAAAAAACATGATAGTATATTAGTATCTGAGTGTCATTACTTTTGTTTATCACCCAGATGACCTAGATACCGTATTATATCAAAATGCTCTCTAAAATATAGCGCCCCTAAAAAACTACCACCCTTCCCCCATATATGTCACTGAATATAATCATACTAATTGATATGTTGTATTTCTGTGTATAATATATTAGTACTATATTATACTACGTTGTCATATAGTATGCGGTCTACCTGCGGCGGCCAAAGGGGTTATTACAGAGGTTTAAGATTATCTTTAATAAATATAGTTTAATCATTTTCTTTGGTGAACACTTTATCTTTATGGCCATGTATTTTATGACTTTTGATACCAATGTTTCAATAGTTTGTAAAAGTATGGACTCGAATGCTCAGTACATCACTTATTACGCAACACTACAATTTATACTCAGACATACACTCAATATGTATTGGCAAAAGATTTTTATTTAATTATAAGTAGTGTAGAATCAACCACAATTTTTTTAATTAACAAATATGTTTTGGTAAATAATGAAAATGATGAATGTCTTAAGTGTTTTAAGTTTTTGTACTTTGAGTAGTTGCTCCACCAAGATAATATAAAGCAAAGCAATGTTCTACTTTCTTGACAACAATTTTGACACAATTTATAAACATTTTAATTCATAATCAATAAGTGCCTACTATATTTTACTATTATTTTTATTTTTTTAGAACAATGTACTATATGAAATAAGTTTTATTTATTTATGGTAGACTGCATACTATGGTTGCAAATCGCCGGTAGACCACATAATTATGATAACTATATACTCTATTTAGCTAAAGCACAAGCAGATTTTGTGTATCCCCTCCTGTCACCCTGTCACCAACACAAAGTCTCCTATTACAGGTTGTCACATGGAGATGTGCGGAAAAACAAATTTTGGTGGGTCAGTGATTTGTTCTCGATCTGAACAGAGTATATTATAATAGATTTCTACTCTATTCAATAATCTCAGCGATACTTCCATATTAGGAAACTTCTTGAGCACCAAAAATGTGTAGTATATCAGAGTATGTGTAATAAAATAAACATGATTCTATTTTGGATTAGTTCTCAAAAATATTTCATTAAAAAGACTTAACACAGGCATTTGTTGACTTCATCTAACAAGTGTGTATTATAGCGAATTTTGCTCAACAGATAACATCTAGTTTTGTTAGTTCTTAAGAAACTTAAAGGTAAAGATATTAAATGTTTTTTTTATGGGTTTTTTACGATTATTCAGTTTTAAAATGAGTTATGAGCATTTTTAATTTATGCTATATTATACACGCAATATTTTAATCTTTATAAAAATAAAGCTTCATGTGATCTGCAGAGTGTAGATTTGCTATTTTACACAACTGTAAGATGTAGTCGACAAACGCTAATTTGAAGTCATCTTAAACAGAAAATTTTTTTAATTGAAACTTTGTTATATGGAAGTTTTGCCGTATTATGAAATCTGTATCAATTAACTATAAAACAAAATATCCAATATATTATTTGATAAAACAATTACTTCTTGTAATACTGATTGATTGTTGAAATTTCTTTGTTGTTGAACTGTATTTGAAATACGTTGAGTAACCTGTCTAGCAGTTTGTACACTCTTTTGATAAGAAGTTGACTGCACTCCCTGACAAGTCACATGTCTACTAATAAATTAAACTTATGAATAATAATCAATATTGTAGTTAAAAATAATATTTTTGATATATGTTAAAAATATACTTATTTCATATAATTAATGAAGTACTAAGCTAATAATCAATAATTATAACTAAAATTATCTTACTGTCTATGTATTTGTCGGGGATTGGGAATATTGTTTGGGATATTTGGTTTAGGAGGCCGTATATTGTTCATAACCCAACGATTGACTAAATTATTGTTCAAATTCTGATTCAAATTACTTGAATTTTGATGTAAAGTCTTTGCAACAACATAAAAACATCATATTAGCTTACGAGTAATTATTATGAATGAAATGTTGTTAAATAGTATTAATAACTGTTTATACATTATATAAAGAATTTTTTAACTTATATATATGTATATATATATTAGAATATAATTTAACTTACACGAGGCGGTATATGATTAGAACTTTTTGATTCTTTATTCCAATTGTATTTCTTTTCAAAATTCACTAAAAACAAATTACAAAAATGTATTCAAAATAAAAAAAAATAATACTTTTAGAGGATAGCACATCATGCTCTGTTTCAGATGAGCATCCTCATACATAAATATTGTGTAATTAACACTTACTAGCTTTTATAATTGTTTCTAGTGTTTTTTTATTTTGAACTGGAACTACGGACGTTTCACAAGATGTTATTTCTACATCTGAATCATCGAGTTCATCAATCTCAATAACATCTTTTCCCAAATCTTTACCCTCGCGCAAAATTACTTCAGGCTCAGAGATAATTGGATCATAATCTTCACTATCTATAGTTATGGTACTATGATTTTTAGCATTTACTTCATCCTCTATGTCTCTAATTTTATTTTCTTGTGATTCTTTTGTAACTGTTTTATTAGTTTTATTCTCAACTCTAATATCTTCATCAATCACAAGGACTCCGTCTGTATTAGTATCATCAATAGATGTTTCTGTGACTAAATTGTTATTTCCTAAGGTTTTGACATTGCCATTAATACACTTGGTTACTTTTTCGGGAATATCTTTGGTATAGATTTTGTTTTTTTTACTTGTAATCTCGTCAACATTTTTTACAATTATGTTGTTGGGAGCATTTTGGTCAACAATACATGTTTCCCCATTTGAAATGATAACATTAGCATTTTCTAAAATTTTTCTAGCACTCTTTACTACATCAATACTATTATTGCTTTTATTAGTCACTATACTTGTCTTTTGGCTAGGAACCTGTTTTGTAATAACAGTTGTTTCTTCATTTGCTTCATTTTGAGTTGTTTCTAAAGCAACACCGCTTGGTGCTAAATCAAATGACTCCATATAAATAGTTTTCTGACTCTTTTGTGGTGGTTTACAAATTTCTGATTCTGGCGATGATAATCTTTTTCGTTTAGCTAATATGGGCTTGATAGGTTTCAACTCTTTATCAAATTTTTTATGAGAATTAATACAATCACTTTCTGAACTGTATTCACACTCTGTATCATTAAGGTTAGACCCTTCAGTTTCTTCTGCATAATCTTGTTTATTTTTAAACTTTAAAGTCAACTATAAAATAAAAATATATAATTAATGAACTAATATTTTAAACCTCAGTAAATATAATATATTTCTTAGAACTTTGAAAGTTAATATAGTCAATTAAAATTCATAAGCTAATGAATGAAAAATAAAAATTGATTCACATTAAAAGAAAGTATTTTTGTCTTATAATTAGATTTTTATCATTATTATAAGATATTTGATGAATTTTTAATTTTAACAGTTTAAGCATAACTGGGCGGGTTTAATGCAAAGGGACAATAGATAATTTTTGTTGGTTTTAGTAGACAAAAAACCTTAAAATTATTATATTAAAATTTGTTTTGTTATATGCTACTTCTATTTATAATTGTTAAAATTGAATATGATAAAAATAAGTTATTAATCTAATGCATTCAAATTTTATGAATATATAGGACAACTTAACATCAAATATCTATTGAATGAATTGGATATAATTAGACTCAAATTTTTTTATTCTACTATTCTATTTACAAGAACTTTTTATACTACTCCCAGACTAAACAACTTTACCGCATTCAAATCAGAATGTAACTTTTTGTTACTTTCATCGAGTTTCTTTTTGAGTTCTTCATTTTCTTCAGCTGGATCTTTTATTGTACTTACATAAGCCAAACGACCAAAATATTCATTCAATCTTCGAAGCTTTAATTGTTTTCCGAGCTTAAGAAACGCATCATGTGCTAAATTAAATATAAAACGTTTTTAAAAAGATTTTGAGCATTTTATCATAACAATTTTACTCACAAATATTTTTTAACTCAGTGTCAGTCCATTTTAATTTTTTTTTGTCTCGCAAACACTTTAATAATGTATATATTTCAAAATAGTCCGGAAATGTTTTGTTAAGATTATAGTATTTCTCAATGGTTTTATTAACCAAACTGTCATTGGTTGATCTAAACCGCAGCATAGGTTCTTCTAAAAAGTGTGGTTCATCACTTAGCTTGCACATTCGTTTATATATTTCAACAATCCTTTTTTCATATCTGTAATTCCCAAAAGTAAAAAAAATACAAACAAAAATTAGTGACATATTTTTTTGATTTGTCAACCTTGGTCCTACATATTATGGGTTAAGCCAAAACAGGCCTCTAGGATTATGTGGTTAAATTTGAGTATATACAATGCATTTTATTTGGAGATACATTTTATTAATTTTCTGAAAAATAATATATTTTACTTTTTATATTTATTATGATCTATGATTTAATTTTTAAATTACTATTATATGTTGTCTTTTTGGAATGTATAAAGGAGTAATATGAGACTTTTTTCATTAATATCTAAAAACTCTTTTTACACAAAAGAAAATATTAAAACTAACCCCCTAGATTTGTTCAGAATCTGAAATTACCAAAATTAATATAATCAATTTAATAGATGTAATATTACTAAAAGTTTTAATTAAATCAAAAAACTTACTTATCCTTCAATATATATGCAGAGTCAGAATTAAATTCATCATCATTATTTATATCCATTTCTTTTTCTTCAAGATCTTTAATTTTTTTTCTGATACTCTAAAAGCAAATAATAATAATCAATTTAAAATGTATTATGCGCAAAGTTTGATTAAATTACAATAATATAGTTACCTTTAATGCGGATTTTAATTTTTTGAGCTGTTTTAATGTCTTTTCATTTATTTCTTTATTCTTTACAGATGTTTTACTGTCTTGAACCTATAACAAACATAGAAATAATACAGAATGATTATTTTATCAAACAACACTAATATGGTGTTTGTGTGTAAATACCACCTAACATACACCTATAACACACAAACACCACCCAAAACCACCCAACTTTGGGAGGCTATATCTTGTAAAYGAATTAACGAAAAATGAAAATTTAAACGTGAAATTCATTGAAAAAATAGCCTTTTTAGTTTATAAAATTTCAAGTATAGGTTGTCATTTGAAAACCAAAAGTTGATAATAGTTTACCTGATAAATATAAGGGTGAAAATAATTAAAAAATAGTTCTAGAAAAATATGGATCTAAAATTTTGATAAGAAAAATAATTTGAAAAAGTCTATAGTTTTTGAAATAATGAGTATGGTTTGATAAAAGAATCACCCTGTATAGATGCATAAGACATACAAATTTTAAATTTATTGGAATGTTGAATTTTAAGAATAATGATATGGATTTGACATTTTAACTCACATAATTAATAAATATGCATAACATTAGGATAGGCTTGCTGTAATTGCCATTTTTATACATGTAAAAATTGTTTGCATCATACAATATTTGACTTAACTTTAAATTTAATTTTAAATATTTGTTGTATGTATATGTTGTAGATGTTAATGGGACCAGACTTTGTGTATGTCTTTGGTTATTTTTAAATATTTTAAATTTTAATGAAGTCATTTTTGTTAAGTGCACCTCTGTGACCGCAGCAGTCACTAATCGCAACACAACATGACTCAAATAACCATTACCCCTGAAGCACTTATATGTATATATATATATTTTTTTTTTAACTAATTTTATTAGATTTATGAAACTTTTATCATCCTTATTATCAATATTCACACATTTATAAGTAAATCAAACAACAACAAATTATTTTAGGTGATTAAATCATTGTATAAGTGCAAATACCTGCCTAATAATATCTCACTCATACATCCTAAATATCATAATATCGCTCCAAATAATATTTATTTTTTTAACATTGAATTTAAAAAATTTAAACTAATTTTAAATAAATATAAAATTTATTATTCATAAATAATAAATTGTAAAATAACTCATACAAAATTTGAATTTAATCTAAATTAACAAATTTAAATATATATACAACTGTCAACTATATACTTTAGGAATGTCTTCAAAAAATGTAAAAGTCTGTCGATAATGATAAAACCTGAATTAAATTAGTATGCAGAAATTTGAAAAATATAAATTACAACAACTAAATGACAAATACTTAACAATTTATTAAATATCAGTCATACCAAGCATTTAAAATAAACAGAATATTTATAAAAACCCTGTTATTAATTGCCACTTAAATCGGTTGTATAATGCAAATTATTACTGCTAATTTCATCTTAAAATAAATATATTCCAGAATCAAACAATACAAACTTAGGTTATATGAAAGAAGCAAGAGTACTTTTGTTCAAGTTTGGAAGTAAATCTGATTTATTGAAAATCTACGTATATAAATGATATATAATATATATATATATATATATAACAGGAGTAGCCAACATGAATACATTCCTGAGCCACAAGGATATATACAATAATATCAAAATCTAAATTGTTAATAAATAAATTTTATAATTTTTATAATTTTATCGTTAGTAAGTAAATATTGGTTTTTTTTATTAAGACACGAGCCACAAGTTGGCCACCCTTGATATTTAACTTTAACCTCTATAATACATTAATTAATAAATCTTACCTTCATTGAAGTTTTAAATTGCTGTAGTTGTTCATATATGTGTTCCATGTGTGTATATAAAAAGCTACCACTATCAGGCCAGATTACTAGATTTGCTTCTTTTAACAACTTAATAAAATACTTAGAACCAAGAAATTCAGAAGGTAGAGATTTATATAAATTTTCAATCACTTCAATATTTGATTTTGGAAAATTGTTATTTTCATAACATTTTTCAATTAACTGAAACATAATATAATCATTAATATTAAAAATGGATAGTACTTGGATAATTATTATACTAATTAAAATGCTTGATCAATATATAATTATTGTATACATTAGAATTAAAATTTTACCAAAGACTATGATACAAAAAGTACCAGATAGATAGATGATTAACTCGAGTTACAAAATATGTGCTGAAGTAACTTGAACATAATACATAAGAATTAAACATAATATCTAAGTTCTATACAAATAATTTAACTTTGAAATCAATAGTACATTATTATGAGTAAAAATATAATGTTTGTAATTAACAATGGCTAATGGCAAAAATCAATATATCGTTATTCAGTATTTTGAGTATTATATTATACTCAATAGTAATATACAACAATATTAACAGTAATTTTTGTAAATATATATAATGATGTGCATTTGTATAATATTGTATTATACACACTTTATAGATTTATTTTATAAAATTATATATTTTTTTAATTATCATTAATTAATAATTCATCACTTGTTAGTAATTAGTTTTTCATTTTTCATTTTGTTAATTAATAAATGTTATTAATAAAATGTAATTCTCATAAAGGAAATTAATGAGTAATCAAGTTAATGTTTTGTAAATAATTTCAAATTTATCTATAATTTTTAATGAAGCTTTGGATTTTATACCATATAAAATATGTATTATACAGTAGAATACAAAAATTTATTTAACTATATTTAACTTTACAAAAATCTAAACAAAGTTTTAATACATTTATAGTTCAGTATATAAAATGGTATAATAAAATAAAAAMAATAACACATTTCTACTTAACTAAACATAAACAAAAAAAAAACTAATTTCCATACATTTATAAAAATAAATAAATGCATTCTCTTAAATCTATAATTATATGTGGCTTACTTCTTTAAATATTTTATCGCTTTCATTGATTTCATTTTTACTTATATCATTATCTAATTCAGTAGTCATACTTGCATTACCATTTGAAGTACTAGCCACACAATGTTCAGTCTAAAATGTATACAAAATATTATGTATTAAACAATTATATGTAGGTAGTATTTATAAATTATGTAGTATCTATTAGATATTTATGGATGTTGAATTAAAAATGTAACAATTAAATGGAGTATGTAATATGGTCTTTGATTTTCATGTTTAAGGAACCATTACTTCACTATTGAGTATTGAATCATTAAATGTTAAGCAATTAATTATGAATAATATTATAAAACAAGTCAACTCAATTAATGGTAAAATCAGTAATGAATTATATATTATATTATGATGAGAAAAATTATATAATATTAAAAATATGAAAATTAAAAACATATAAAAAATAAAAAACTGGGGGTGGAGTGGCCAACCGGACTAAGGCGTCGGTTGCGACGCATTCAGTCGTCGTTTGAATCTCGGTCACAGGCGGCATCGCTCTTTGGGAATTTTGCGGTGTCTGGAGAGAGAGGCCGCCGCCCCCCAATCGGGCATGGCAGAAACCTAACGGGTGCCCATTCAAAATTCTGCCAAAAACCCACATGTTGAAACCTACAGTACCTTCCCCTACAGTTCCCTAAGMTAATGACCTCAGTTGTCAAAGCCTTAACCCTAAAAAAATAAAAACCTTGTTATCATAGTCTGTGACTTATCATCAGAATAAATAACAAAACAAAAGATTTACCAAAAATGGACAAAGTAGTTTAAAAATATGTTTCATTGGATAGAGTACATACAGAGCTGCGTTTAACGGGGGGAAATTGCTCCAAGGCGGCCAGTTTTTGAGGATCAACATAAAATAAAAAATATATAATTATAATTTTCTTAAGGTCGGCATATTTTAATTGGCCACATAGCTTAATGCGGCACTGAGTACATACTATAATTTATAAGAAGCTAATGAAGCTAGTATGCTTATACCACTATATATTTTGTTGTATATTTATAATTAGTAAAACAATATTTTAATATAATATTAGATACTAACCTGTAAATTAAAAGAGTCTTTTTCGGATAGTTGCAATAATTCATTATAAACATTGGCAGCATACTGAAAAGAATTTTTATTCTTTGGAGAAATGAATTCTATTCCTTTAAGTACTAAATTACATAAATGTTTTGAACTTTTTTGCTTATAATTGCATTTTTTGTACATTTTATTCATATCTTCAATATATGATTGTGGAAACTGTTTATTGTTTCGACATAAATTTATCATCTACAAAACATATTGAGAAAAAAAATTTTGCAATTTATTATAAATTTAAATGATGTATTTTTCTAACTTATACATTAGTTATTTTTTATTTTTCAAACAAGCTGGGGTTGCATTTTTTATTTGAATTTTGTGAATGCCCATATAAAGAGTGTCATTGGGGGGACACAAGTATGCATTTGCTCAATCCTAGATTTAAAGTAGCTTAGGGACAGCTTCCGAATTTATTTCCATTTATATCCAGTTTATTTTATTTGTACTTTATATGGTATTCATGTTGTAGGCGGTCTACCGCCCGTTTCTACACGTCATATGCGTTCTACCACACATTTGTCGTCTACTACGAATTTAGTCTACCACATAGTTAAAAATATAAACGGATACATAAATGTAGAATTACAATATATTTATTAATGTAGAATTTCAATATAATATTTAATAATACAAAAAAATATATAAAAATATGTAGGTGCATTTAATTAGTATATGTATTAAAAACTAACTGACAAAAAATGGAAAATTATACAGAAATATGAATTAATCAATTTAAATTAAGTTCAATATAATTTCACCTCTCTTAAAAAACAATCAAATTTGTTGTCATTCTTATTTTTTAGACGCCACCATTGTTCGGCCAAATACGAGGGCAGCAATTATGGATGTACCATGCATTTATTTAATAATTTGAAGTTTTAAACCAAAATAATTACCAAAAATATACATATAGATACGCGGTATTAGACCGCATATGACGTGTAGAAACATACATGCTAGACGACAAGTGTGCGGTAGACCGCATACAACATGAATACCCTTTATATAGTCTATTTAACCTACAATGATCCAGCAATTAACCAAACAATAATAATATTAAAATAATTTATCAGTATTAAAAACTTAAGTATAAAGTAACTTATTAAAATGAATTTTTGACATTATTATAAAATAATATTTGTAAGATAGGTAGGCAATAGACACATACAATAATGACAAAATTAAACATACCAAAATGATAACACTATAATAAAATAATAAAATACAATTCAACGTTTGATGGCAGGGTGATAAATTTATAGTGGTGACAACAATAAGTACTGTAATTTGTTTTGATTTTATATTATTACAATCTATTTTTGTGTCTGTCTAACCAAATACCTTTTTATTTGCAATTTTTTTGTTATAGTATTTGTAGTCAAGCATGCAGAAAATAATGATGAAGACAGAATTTAGTGATCAAACTTAAATTTAAACTTATAGCTATACATTTCAATCGGCTTTAAATTTAAAACTAAGTCTGACATCACCATCATTTTCAGTATACTTAGCTACAAACCTTAAAACATCAAAGGGTGCCTGGTAATACAGAAAAAAAATTTAATGCTATTCAAGGGCCTTATGACTAGTAATAAAATAAGAAGGCAGAGACTTTTAGTTAAATTTATTGAACTAATAGCATGTTGGTCGATAAGTGTAGACTGTGTCAATCATTTACCTCTTCAATGAACTAATTTATAATAACTATTGGTTCATTAGTAATTAATAGTAAATAATAAAAAACAATAAATAGGCATTTTGAAATGGATATGGATTAGAACTTAAAAGTATTGCAATGCATTCATAAGGAAGAGTAATTAAGTTTATAATTCTGGTAGGTAGTAGATATTAGAAAAATATATTTTCAATATTATAAGTTTGTTTATCGATGTTTATAATTCATAATTAATAAGCACAGTTGACAATATCATCTACATCTATAATAATAAATTAAATCGAAATATTTACCTGTTGAAATAAATCCATGTTATAAGAAATCTGAAATAAAAAAAAAATGATGTTAAAAAATAAAAGTATGCTGAAAACTTATATTTGTTTTTTTTTGTTTTTGTTATTTTAAAACTAAAAGTTTAAAATTTAAAGACTTACAAATGTACAACATAGCAATTTTGTGTTCAGCAAAAATAATTTATTTTTCATTAGCTATAATATTAGAGTGAATTACTAAGTAAGTCATACTTGGAGGTAAAAAAATTATCTAGGAAACCTTATGGGCTTTTATTCTTATTCTTATTTAAAGTGAATATAACAACTATATAAAATAAACCTTTAAAATGCTCATAACTTTCCTCAAAATTTAAATATAAATAGTTACCTATAGGTTGATACCTTAAATAAGTGCTTTTCAGCCTTTTATATAAGACAACACCCTATATCAAATCCCCCACTCATGGAAGCACACCATTATATTCTAATCCCAAAAACAGACAAACCACCAGACGGTAAGTCTAGATTTTTATTTCCAAAACATAAATCTAATGACATGATAAGGATACTAAAAACAAATTTTAATTTATGCGAAGTCAACTTCAAATTGACTTTTTCATTTTTATCTGCACAAATCATATCAAGATTTTTATAGTAAACTAAAAGTAAATACATTTTTAATTTAGTGGTTAATTTTAATTAAAACGCATACAAATTAAAAATCTATTTTCAGAATCTTTTTATATTATATTAGATTAATCAATACATACAACTTCACTTATAATTTCCTGCATACAAAATTCCATGTTGTCAAAACAAGATGTACAATAAGTTATGAGTTCTAGGTATCATACATACGTCTGGTTCGCTGTCTTCTAATCCGGACGAGATTTCCATTTCTGACATTGTAGAAAAGTCAATAGCAACGCAATGTTCTACAATAATTGCAAGCCGGTTTCGTTTTAAATTGAAAACGATGAAAACAACGATTTTATTAATTTATTTTGAAAATAAAATAAAAGTATGGACGAATCAGTCACACTGAATAGTAATGGTTTCATATAAATGGTCCTCTGTAGTCCATACAACTCGCGTATTCATTCAACCCAATACCCACTGTACATTTCTAACATCATAAAATTATTAATTAATTGAAATTCACAATAAAATAATATTTACATTTAATGTTAATACAAACTCCAAATCTGAGCAACGTTGTGTACCGGAAAAGGTTGACTCGGGCTTCACCGACCACGGCCTCAGATCGACAAACTGTTGATCAAAAAAGTAACAATCGGCAAAATATTAAATGGTAAATATTAAAAACATTATAGGTAGTTTGTTATAATCAAACCGTTTACACTCGGTGTCGGTATTATCTGATAGCAGGTTGTGTAGTGTCAGTGTGTACACTACAGTGCGTCACATTTTAAATTTTCAAAAACTTCACGCATGTACTGATACTGATATCACAGAATAGATGAAATATTGTAGTATATAAATATTATACTATTATTTTTTTTTATATAGTATAAAATAATACATATAGAACATTTTCCGTACTTTTCTGGATTATACAACTTGTTGAAAGAGTAAGAGAAGTAGAGACCACTTTCATATGGCATTCATAATGATTTATTTTGTCATGCTATAAATAAGACATAAGTGATTAGTGAATGACAATCGGGTAACCATAATATAAATAGCATAATAGGTAGTATATTAATTCTTTTATTTTAAAGTTTCAAACTAGTGATACCACTAAAAGAAACAATAATTATTTTAACAAATTTTTTTAAAGTTTTGATGTTGGCAATAGATTCGACGCCACCATTTTTCGGTCAGAGCTGTTATCAATTTTAGGACAACTGCAATGCTGTTCTCCCTACTTTTACATCTTACACATTTTGATAATAGACTAAACAAAAAATAAACATTTAAACACTAGTTTACATAGCAAGTAAAGCATTCTTACTATATATATAAAGAAAAATAATACAGTCAAAATCATATTAGGAACATCCTGTTTCTTTTAAATTTAAGTCTGTAGGAGGAACTACGTTTTGTATTCTAAGCATAAAAATTAATTGCATACCTATACAAACACACATCATAATTTCAATATTGCCTCACAGTATATACAGATTAGTATAGACATGGTAAACAAAAAGGACCAACATAGTATAAAGTAATCACATTTTATAATCCTCATGCCATCTCGGTGGCCGCCTTATCCTAGCCGATTTTGCTACACCTGGTGAGAGTTCAGCAATGGACTTTGATAACTGTTCTGCAGATTCTTCTTGTGGTCTGTTTGGGTCAGCCTCTCCTGCTACACATTGTTCTTCTGAAGTTGTACTAGACTGCTTGTCATCCTCCTCCGAATCTGAGTTAGGCAAATGATATGATTTCATCTGARACATGTGGACTGTAGTCGCATATTGTCTCCCTTCTTCAGCTCGCAATGCTGACACACTGTATAGGTACATCATTAGGTAGTCCTCGTGTCACAATGAGTGGTCCACGATACTTAGGTTGTAGTTTCGTTGATTCACCCGTTGCCTCAGAGGATCTCTTTATGTAGGCAATGTCTCCCTTTCTGTAAAATATTGGCCTAGAGTGCTTTTTATCATACCTAAGTTTCCATATTTCATGTTCTTTAGCTATCTGTTCGCGTACCCTTTCTTGAAGTCTTGTAGAATCATCCTACACGTCATCTTTTACCACATGTCGCAATACACCATCCTTGAAACTGGGAAAATAGCCATACAGTACATGGAAGGGCGTGTCTCTCATAGTTTGATTATATGCGTTGTTAAGGTTACACTCCACCACAGTAATATGCTTGTGCCAAGTACGGTCTGTGTTCATAGTGGCTTGAATAACAGGAACTAAAGTCCCATTCACCCTTTCGACCTGGCCATTTGCTTGAGGGTGTCTGACGGAATTTAAAGTGTGTTTTATACCATAACGAGAGCAATATTCCCCAAACGCTCTGGATGTATAAGCCGTACCCCCGTCGCTTATGATTCTCCTTGGAATACCAAACTGTAATATAAACTTTTCTAGACTAGCGATAACACCATCCGTACCACAGCTTCTCACGGCATACAGTTTCACATACTTAGTTAAGTTATCTATCATTACCAAAATATATTGGTTTCCTCTGATAGACTTAACGAATGGTTCTAGGTGATCTAAGTTTAGTATTTCAAATGGGCGTTTCTCTGGCATAATTGGATGTAATGTTCCAGGTTGTTTTCCTCGGGATACTTTAGTTAAAATACATTCGGGACAACCCCGTATATGTAAACGCACGTAGCGGCGCATCCGAGGAAAATAATAACTTTCCATTATTTTACCGACAGTCCGGTCTACTGAAAAATGACCAGACAGATCATGAAATCGTACGACTATACCCTTCCGCATGGAGTTTGGGACAACCCACAATTTACGAACTATCTTGTTCACTTCTACTTTCTTGTATAGTAGTCCAGATTCCAATACATATTCTTTCACCAACGCAGATTCATTGACGGAGTGTCCCGATTCTTCACGGCATAAAATATCCACAATTGTTTTTAGCCTCGTATCAGTGCGCTGCATCGCCATCACTTGCTCCTCCTCAGTAACTAATGTAAGCACTTCCATTTTCTCATTAATGATCTCCGTCTCCGTGTCAACGGCAACTTCGACAGGTGCTCTACTAAGAGCGTCGATATCTGACATCTTGTCTCCGGCTCTATGTTTGATTTCGTAGTCGTATTCGGTTAACAATGTAGCCCATCTGGCCACCTGCGGACTAATTGTCTTTTGAGAATTTAAATGGACCAACGCCTGACAATCCATCACAATAACAAAATGTAGTCCAATTAGGTAGTGTCTCATTCGGATTACACTCCAAACAATCGCCATTAGTTCTAGCTTACTTGAGTGGTAAAGTTTTTCCGCCGCAGTGGTTTTTTTTTTTGATACAGCATGCACCAAATGTAAGGGCCATGTCAGCCCCACGCTGTAACAGAATGCCACTAAGTCCAATGCTGCTTGCATCACAGTGCAACTCAGTATGGGCTCCAGGATTGTACAATCGGAGAACGGGACTGGAACTTAATTTTTTTTTAAACTCCTTAAACGCATTGTCCTGCTCTCCTTTCCACTTGAAAGTCGTAGAATCTTTAAACAACTCGGTAATTGGTCCAGCTAGTTGGGCATACCGTGGGATGAAACGTCGGAAGAATCCACTAAGTCCCAGAAATCTCCTCACTTCTTGTTTGTTAGTAGGTGTTGGAAAATCTTGTATCGACAAAACTTTATGTTGTCCAGGGCGCACGCCATTTGAGGATGGTAAAAAACCAAGGTAAGACACCTCATAATACCCAAAATAGCACTTACTCAACTTAAGTGTTAGGTGTGCTGTCCGAAATGCTTCAAATACCAATTTCAACCTATCCAACATTTCCTCGTACGATATAGCAGGTACCAACACATCATCCAAGTACCACATAGCAATCTTTCCCTTCAATGGATTGAGTACCCGTTGCATTTATTGAGAACCCATATGGGGCATTAATTAGACCAAACACCATTCGTTCAAACTGACCTGTGTCATCAGGAGTGATGAATGTGGTTTTCTCCTTGGCTGCTTCTGTAAGAGGTACTTGTAGGTACCCGGAGGCCAAATCCAAAGTACAAAACAATTTCGCCCCATACAAAGTCTCCAAGTGATCATCTAGCTGTGGTGTAGGKAACACCCTTCGCACCGTCTGAGCATTAAGCTTTCGGTAGTCCACCACCAGTCTGGGATCACCATCCTTTTTTTGGACTAGGAGCACCGGGGAAGCATAAGGTGATACGGTATCTGACACAATTCCCGCTTCCTTCCACTCCTTGACTATCCCTGCAATGGTTTTGCGTTCAGCTGCACTCGTATGGTACGGTTTACACACAACCGGAACACCACTGTTCACAATGTCCATTTCAACGACATTTGTGCAGCCCAACTCTCGTGCACTGAAAGCAAAACACATTCTGTAACTATTGATTAAATTTAATTATTTATTTATTTGTCCCTCCGAAAACTCAGGATTGTAATTAACCATATCTGTTGTAATTATTCTACAACTATTGAGACTGTCATAAACTGGATTATGTATTTTATTTTTGATGTTGCCCACAATTTTTCCCTTAGACCATATAACTGATTCATCGCCGTCATTTACTATCAGTATCTCTATATCATTGTCCTGGGTTGTGACATTTGTAATCTTCACACTCCTTGAGGGTATCTCTTCAAAATTCCTGGTTGTTATTTCAGTATACAGATTTTCTTCCTTACAGGGTACCCTAGAGTCTTCAAAAGGGAACTTCATTCCATATGCAAAGTGTAACTGATCACTTGTTTTAATGAATGTCACGTTCTCCTTATCCACAAACGTACGTCCGACAATAACATCATACTTTTGTAGTTCATCATCCAGAATAATACATTCAACTAATTATTTTACAGTGTCAAGTGTTTCAGTGTTGAGATTCTCCATAACTGGTCACGGGTTGAGTATTTCCATATACCCACATTTTAACCTCTTTTGGTGTCACCACCAACTTGAATTTTTCAGCTACCGATTTCCTGATTATGTAAAATGCGCTCCCCGTATCCACTAAGCCTGAAACAGGTTCATTGCTATTATTTATAAATACATGCTTAATATAATAATTTGTAGGTTTTTGATGCGGATTGCTGTTGACTAAGGTTACTTCTGACTTTGTTGCTGTACAATACTTGGCAATATGACCTTCTAATGAACACTTAAATGGTCGTTTAGTACGTGTACAATCACGAGCGATATGTCCAAATAATTGACAGTTATAACACTTGGGCGAATATTCTTTAGGTTTGTAATTGTTGGTTTTAGTAAGTCCTGTAGGAATGTTAAGATTTCCATGATCATTCGGTTTAGTCTTGTGCCACTCGTTATTCTTCGTTGATGTAGTACTTGGCTTAACAACGGTTTCTCTGGGACGTGTATGATCAACTCTCCCTAATGTTCTGCTTGAACCTCCATAAACATTCGTATGTCGGCCGAAAGTWCTGGCTCTGTATTTCGTGAGCTACTTAATAATGCCGTTACCAGATCACGCGAACGTAGTCCCACACACACCATTTTCTTGGTTTCGTCTTCGTTTGATTTCAATTTACGACAAAGACGTACTTTCTTGTGGTAGTAATTAAATACGCTTTCCTTTTCTCCTTGCACACGGTCATACATTTTTTCCCATATGTTTGTTATACTTTCTTCACTCGTAAATTTGACCTTAAAATCA